TTTTCCGCAAAACACGATCAATCACCACACAAGCACAAAGCTCTCGAGAGCAACACAGAACGGCGTACAGACGTAGGGAAAGATTTCACATCCTCAAAAGTAGGTCAAGCGGTAAGAGCACATTTGATGAACGACGAACTTTCGATGGAAACACAGATCACACATCACAGGGGGCAGAAGGATGCTTCTCTGGACGTAAAATAAGATGCTTCTCTGGACGTAAAATAACATGCTTCTCTGGACGTAAAATAAGATGCTTCTCTGGACGTCAAATAATCTGCAGAATACCAGAATATAGTTAACAGAAGGATGATTCTCTTGAAAGCAAGAACGCCTAGAGAAAAATGTAGAAACATAGAAGTCGCACACCGGCAAATTCATCTAAAGTGCGTAACATTTTATCCGTATAATCCTTGGGGTATCTTCTTTTTTAGATAATCCCTTTGAAGGTGGTATCCTACCGGCTTTCTGAAATGTAATTTCTCATACATTATTTGTTTTTTGTGCAGCCGGGGCAACAGGAATGAGACAAATTTTGGAATATAAAGTGGTAGGTTTATTTAGCATCCATCTCACAAGCGTTCTCTCTCCTTTGTACCTTGAGCAGAAGCCCTACTTATACATATGTGTGCGTCACGAGGCTCCTCCAATCAGCGATATTAATTGAAATCACGAGGTGACGCTATCTTCTCATCAGGAGTGTTCTAAAGGACTTTATATAATATGACAGATTTATGAGTTTGGCGATTTGGCAAGAGCCAACAGGTTAATATATTTTATATTAAAGAAAGGATTTCGCCAAAAATTTAGGAACAGGGATGCAATTTAGGTAGAGAATCGCCAACACATCATTAAGCAATATTATTAGAATTTAATTTAATCAATTGATTTAAAAATATCATTACATATATATATATATATGGTATCCGTAAGTGCAACACAACCATCAGAGGATATGCGCCAGCAGCGCCAACCTATGTGCCAGCAGCGAGAGCAAGGTGAAAGAGGAGAATGACATATAGACAGACAGTCTTCTATCCCACGCGAAGGTGGTAAGATGTCTCCACGAGAAGGTGGTAAGACGTATGTCTACACGTGAAAGTGTATATAGAACTGTATATTTCCACGAGGAAGGTGGTAACTTGACTGCATATACGACAACTAGTGCAAGTAGGCCCAAAGCTGATATTTAAATTCTAAAAGTGATAAAGAACTGTGTTTATATCTAACAAGTGCGAGAAGGCGCAACAGCACTTGTATTTAATTCAATCTGTACCTTTTCTGTTATTTTTATTAAATGTTTTGTGGTGTGGAAAACGTTGGACTTGTTAATGGACCCTAGACTAGCATCCTCAACTCGCCTATCATATATATATATAAAGAAATCATTTACAATGTTTAAAATTAAAGTCAACAAAATCGTAGAAAGCTCGGTAGGCCGAAGCTGAAGATACAAACTCATAACATTTCGACGGCCAATGAATTCCAATTAATTTTAATCTACACTTCAATAGATTTCTTGCTTTATCAAGCAATGGGCAGTCAAAAAGAGGTGGAAAACACTTGCTGAACCCTAAGATTGCAATAACACAAATTGGAACACGTCGGCTTAAACAGTTCAAGATAAACTTTAAACTTACCATGCCCAGACAAAAATAGTGTAAGTTTAAAATTGAGGAACAAGTCCTTACTTTTTAGTTTCTCAAAAATAGTTGGGAAAAATGTTTTTGTAATAGATCCATTATCAAAAGAGATATAATCACAGTTCCATTGCTGAATCCTTTTAGCTTTGAATGTTTTTTTTAAATAAGCTTTTGGAATATTTACATCAACATTAATATCCTTTTTAGTTGCATTCTTAGTAAGCCAATCAGCTCTCTCGTTTCCATGATTACCCGAGTGACCACGGACAAATGTAAAAAACACTGAAATACCCTTCTTCTCCAGATCTTCGAGAGGCTGCTGTATATTAACAATAATATTATTACATGAAGAGGTATTTTTAAGGGACTACAGGGAATAGTGAATCCGTACAGATTAAGTAGCTGGAACCACGTCCATCCTGGCTAATTATCCACTTAAATTTCAAAATTAATACACAGAAGCTCAGAAATATATACAGTAAATTCATTTCTAATGCGAAATTGGTGGTACTCAATTTCAACATCATCTTCAAAAATAACATAAGCAAAACCAACTTTATCATCAATCCTACTACCATCCGTATAGAACACAAGTGAGAATGAATTTACATCAGTGTCCATACTATCCAGAATCTACACTGGTTGTCTTACAGAAGGATGTGGAAGAACAGACAGGGTAATAAACGATCAAAATGTTTGCAAGACTATTTTTGTAATCTGTAAAGGTCAGAATAAGCAGATCCAGTGGTGAAAATTCGGCAAGAGAGAAAACAGCATTGTAAAACTAATAGTTTGGCAACCCCATATAACTCGCAGAAAAATTCGAAGTCGACCAAGGGACCAACGCGTTTGGATTACGGAGTACCTCCACATCATCGTTCAAAGCAGGCGATTAGAGTTAGTTTATTTATTTATTTTTTTTAGAGACAATCCCCAAGCTCGACATCCATATGAAATAAAGGGTACAATGCCTTGTTTATAAAATAATTGCGCTAACATTCGATTTAACACCAAAACTATTACATGCAATTCGATTTAGCCCACGCTAAAGTCGCTCACATTTGTTAGAAATGTAGGAAATATGCTTTTTCCATATTTCATAAATTTTTTTTCTCACCCTTTGGCAATACTTATGCACCTCAGTCGCAATTACTAAGAAATACGATTGCGTTTCCTGAACACTATTTACACTTACAAGCCGCCCACTCGGTATAGTGGTCAGGGAAGCTGACTGCGATGCCGAAGGGCCTGGGTTCGAATCACGGAGAAGGCATGGTTGTAACTGTCCGTCCCATCATAGGAAAAAGTGATGGTGACCCTCGGTTAGTTGCGAAGTCCCATCATTCATCTGGTTAAAATTGACGTCATGAGAACTTTGAAATCATACATGTCATAAACGTAATAAGGTGTCGAAATCATTGCAACAGCATTTTGTTTCTTCTAACCTCCCTAACACGCCATGCAGTTTTGCCGTACCTTTTCTAGGATGTTCCATATGCAACGGCAAGATATAGGGCTGTATGAGCCCTTCGTTAACAATAGAATTACGGTGGTCTTCGTATACCTCGTATACTCTTCGTATACCGGGTGTCATTTTGACCCCTTGATAAGATCTCTGCATATTTCTATATATGATATTGTATATTTGTGAAACAGGAATTTAAATAACGCAAATTATGACAACTACAGTTTATTTTAAAGAATATAGAGACTTTGCAGGTATGTAGTCAAATAAAGAACAAGCATTTAAATATTTCCATCGGAAAATGCACTCCCCCCTCCCATTTTCGATAGCTTACATTTCAAAAACACAGAAAATAAAATGTATAAATATTTACGCAAATTTTTCCAAAAAAAAAAGTGGTTTTTAATCCAAATATTAAAGTATTTTAAAACAAACGTTTTGCTATAAAGAGTACATAGAAATATTTTATTTACAGATAATATATTAGTCAGTGTAGCAATTAGCACACACGCTTATCTTTCTGATTTTTTGTGTACAATATCCTCAGGAACCTTCTTTTCATTAGATTCAAATTCAACTGATGAATGGAGTGTACTTAACAAAATTACGTTTTTGTTCCTTTTACCTTGATATGATGTAAGTGTTATATAGTCGTGTTTCACCACACGAAAAAAAAAAAGTTCGTTCCTTACATTTTTGAAACTAGAGGGAATTTCTCTTTTTGCGCGATTTACTGTTCCAACATGACTCAATCCTTTTGATTTTAGGGATTTCGCAAGTTTTACTGATGTAAAGAAACTGTCTGTAGTTATATTTCGGCCAGTATTTTTGTAAGGATCAACTAAACGATTTACTATGTTCTCTCCTAAACTTTGATCATTTGGTCTCATTTCATCTTTTCCTAAATATGGAAATCCGTTTAATAAGTATTTTGTCCTATCGTCTACTGCTAGCCAAAATTTTATTCCGAATTTATCGGGTTTCTTAGACATATACTGCAAAAACCGGCATCTTGTTTTTGTAGGGACTGTTCATCAATCGTAAAGTTTTCATTTGGTTTGTAGCCAAACTTACAGTTTTCTATAAAAGTACTCCATACCTCGGATATTAGTGCAAATTTATCACACTGCAAACGTGAAGACCTTGTTAGTTTATTATCAAAACTAAGAAATTTCATAATTTCCAGAAACCTATCTCTACTCATAGTTTCATGGAAAAACTTTGGTCCCCAAGTCTTGGACCACAAACTAAGCCCTTGGCAGCTAATGCCCTCCTTACGTACAACAACGCTATGAATGCTTCCAGTTATGCTAATAAAATAGTGAAAGAGTCATTATGAAGTTTACGCTTGGCTTCAGCATCAGTACACTCCTTTATGACGTAATTTTTATTATTTAATTTTTAAATTAAATGTAAAATTTTTTCATTTATCATTAACTTCCACGCATTAAGAGCTTTACCAGAACAAATGTGACGTTTAGCATAGGATGTTGGTCCTGCATTTTCTCGCAAGATATTTTGCAAGGGTCGCCGACCAGAAGTATTTGAAGTATTTTCTACTTTCCATACAGTTCCATCACTAGCAATTTCTTTACAAGTTTTAGTCTGAATTACGTTGAATTTCATATTCCCTTTTGAGGGTCTACTAGTTTCCGCTTTGGCATTCTTAGGTACGGCAGAATTTGAACTTGTAGAAATAAATCCATTTGTACTTTCACTTGAGCTAGAAGATGATATTGCCTGATTACTCTCTATAATAAATCCAGAGCAAGATGTTTCATCTCCATCTTTATCTGTAGAATTATTTTCGATTTCAGAACCGTAATCGGCATCAGATAGTTCTTGCATCAGTTTCACGATTTCTTCATGCGTTAGTCTCTTTCTACGCGCCATTAGTATGTCACTATAATAAATTCATATAAATAAAATAAAATTTTCCACTAAAACTTGTTATGAATAATAAACCAAATATCTACGAAAAATCTACAAACGTTCAGCTCAACATTGAGCTCGTAATACACTCATGTCCATAAATTAAGATAATTCGGAGTCACGCGGAAATCGAACTCTAAAATAAATATACCACCTGTAAAATCACTACACACATCTTCAAGAATCATATGCAAATTTTAGGAAGTAACCAGATGACACCGATGGTACGTCACAATGACGAGAGTGTAAGAGAGTGATGTATAAGGAATACAGGCAAAGAAGTAAAATTGTTCGCAGGAGCTTTATAAGCATTTCAGTGCAATAAATGAATAGTTATGACACAAAGGAAGCATTTGGATGATTTTTTACGTGGTAGAATTATCGGCCGTCTGGAATGTGGGCGTACCCAACGGAAGTATCAGACGAACTTGGAATTGCCCAGAGTATCATCTCCAGGCTTTGGCAACGATTCCAAGATAATAGCAATGTGAGTAGACGTTACAGAACAGGTCGTCCCAGAGTTACAACGCCGAGTGAGGACCGGTATTTGGCAGTTACTGACAAAAGAAACAGGCAGAGCACAGCCTCAGACCTGTCTCGTCAGCTCTCTTCAGCCACAGGTACGACAATTTCAAGGCAGGCCGTGTACAGACGCATAGGGCAGATTGGTCTATATGCTCGTAGACCTGTCAGATGCGTTCCACTTACTGCAACTCACTGTCGCCTGCGGTTAGCCTGGAGTAGAGAGCATGCATTGTGGACACCGCAACAGTGGGCTTGTGTGATGTTTTCCGACGAGTCCAGGTTTAGCTTGCAGTCTGATTCTCGCCAGACTTTCATATGGAGAGCTCCAGGTACCCGTTACCACCAAGAAAACATCATTGAACGACACCGTTACGGTAGTGCAGGAGTGCTCGTTTGGGTGGAATTATTCTGGGTTCCAGAACTGACCTGCATGTTCAAATTGGAACCATGACAAGCCAAATCTATCGGGACGTCATTCTGTAACAACATGTACGTTTGTTTCGGGGCGCCATGGGGCGCACAATTTGTGTTTATGGATGACAACGCCCGTCCTCACCGTGCAAACATCGTAAGCGAATGCCTTCAATCGGAGGATATCACCCGTATGGACTGGACAGCATTCTCACCGGACTTGAATCCAGTAGAGCACGTGTGGGATATGCTTGGCTGACGAGTTGCAGCCCGTCAACCTCCTCCTACATGTGTACCGGAACTTCGAAGAGCATTGCTTTTTGAGTGGTGTAATATCCCCCAAGATCAGATCGATAATTTGATACTCAGCATGCCTAAGCGTTGTACGGACTGTATTGCATCGTCTGGGAGACATACAATGTATTAACAGTCATACCAACCATGTAATATTGGTTTTTTGTAAATAGGTTTTTTTTTGTAGTTTGCTCCAGGGAGAAAAAAATCGCTAATTTTTTTAATAATATCAAACATATAGCATCTTTTTTTCTCTTTACCTTTTGTTTAATAAATAAGCTTTACAAACAAGTCAAATTTGCTTTGCTTCTAACTCTTCCTTTGCCTGATTTTGCATTATCCTTAATTTATGGACATGAGTGTAATTTCTTTTCTCTGGTTTCTTTCCACACAGAAAAGAATTGCCCATATTTTCAAATAATGTGACTGGCAGATGTGAAATTACGCAGATCAACCATATTCTTTTCCTTTGTTTGTGTTTTGTTTAGCAAGGTGCAAATAAAAATAGTTTACAGAAGTAACAGTGTTCAGATAATACAATGGAATGTATTCACATTTCTTTTCTCTCAATAGGGTCAAAATGACACCTGCCGTATTTCTAGGTATAATCGTTAGTTAGGACTAAAATAAAAATACGATTTTCTTGAAATCTTTACTATTTCGTAAATCACAATTATTTAGGAAAAGTCGAGAAAAGATTAAGATATTTGCGAAAAAAAAGAAGAGCTGTCAGAGGTATAATTTCGCTAGGTGTCAAAATTACCCCTTCCGTAATTCTAGTGTTCCTCGTTTGTTCCAAGAAAGGCCTATGTCTTGCGTGCCATATTCATACTTTGACAAGCATTACATTTTATATAAATAAAAATTAACTATATTCGCAATTTCCCTGAGATAGCTTCAACAAGAAAACTGCATAACGAAATTCCCAATAGTCTAAAGAAAGTTAAAGTCTGCATGAAGTCTTTTAATGAACGTCTCAAAAAGTCTCGAGGTAAAGTTTGTAAAAGTTTAGAATATATTGGCTTGGGACATAAATAAATTTAGAAGGTGTATCAGGGCACTGAAGCTAAACGAGCTTTCAGATACATGAACAATATTTCCGCAACAAGTTCTTTATAACATTTCAGCTAATGATAATCTCCTGAAATAGGAAATTTCTAAGAGAATTGAAACCTAAGCTTTGCATGAGAACGTTTTCGGAAATCATCGCTTGGGATTAGAACCTTCTAAAAAAACAACTGCAGTGGAAGAAGAAAATAATGTGAGACAGCTTCTGGTATAAATCGTGCCACATAATAAATTTAGTCGTTTTTTATGTAATTTCTATTTTATGTAATTATACATTGGGTAATTAAAAAATTTAATATTTATACATAATTATTTTTTTTATTTAAAAGTGTTTTTTATTCATACACAATGTATTTTCTGTTTTCGTAAAAATGAAGTCTTTTAATTATAATTTGATGTTTTGTTTCTATTTAATAAAGTACTATCCCTTTGTTAAATCTTGAATAGTCTCACCTGCCTACATATATGTATTATGTAGCCTATTACTATTTGTTATTACTAAAACAATAGTCTTATCATTAAATATCATTAAAATAAAAATACTTCCTTCACTCATCCCAGATACCGAGCAATCCAGAAAAACTAAAGACAAAACTTGCTCACTTACCTGGGTAGTGTGATGTTGAATCTGTAATAAAAACTCAAATATGCACGCCCAAAAGACAGGCCATAAGTTCTAGACGGGGAATAGTAAGTTTTTTTAAGGGTGCGACTCTTGACTTAGCCATTGTAAAACTGACTAATGTTTCTTCTTTAGTTTCGAATCTCAAAAATATTACCGTGGCATAAGCATGCTGGCTAGCATCACAAAATACATGAAGTGAACCAGGAACTTCTATCTCCAAAACCTATACGTTGCGGTATTCTCAACTTATTCAAAATTTGTAATTTATTATACCACCTCGAAAATTTACTTTTGATACTATCTGGTAATGGAGTATCCCAGTCTGCTTTTATCGCCCAAATTTCCTGTAGCAGTAACTTTGCAGGCAATAAAACAGGTGTCAAGAAACCCAAAGGATCAAACATTGTCTGCGTTACTGACAAAACCTCTCTTTTAGACAAATTATCCGAAACCAATACAGTCTTAATTTCAATATAAAGGTTATCTTCTATTCTGTCCCACATAATTCCTAAAACTGGTACAGAATTCTCCATTGTGGACTCAGTGCACAAAGTACTTTGGGTTAGTTCCACATCTTTTTCTACTGGGCCATAGGTCCACATACGTAAGTCCATTTTTGCTTCAGCTAATATTTCAGTAGAAGATTTCACAAAATTCACAAGCTCCTTTTCGTTATCAACAGAAGTCACACAATTATCAATATAAAAGGATTTATTTAATTTCTGAGCAATAGAACTTTGTTCCTTTGGTACTTGTGCCAAATGAACTGAAATAACCGCTCCTAATAGAAAAGGGCTGGACTTTACTCCAAAAACTACCCTCGTATGGCGGAAAACCTTCAGTACATTATCTTTCTCCCACCATAAAAATCTTAAAAAGTCCCTATCTTCTTTCCGTAATTCAATCTGTAAAAATGCACGCCGGATATCAGAGGTTACGCCAATGCATTTTTCTCTAAATCTTAACAAAATTGAAGGGATTTCTTCTATTAAATTTGGTCCTTTTACTAAGTAATCATTAAGGGAGGGCGATCTATTAACTTTACATGATGCGTCAAAAACAGGTCTTATCTTAGTTGAGACACTGTCTGGTTTAAATACTGGGTGATGCGGTAAGTAGTGCCCTTTATAATTCAGTTCATTGTCTGGTACTATTTCAATTACACCCTCCTCCATCCATTCATTAAAATTCTATCATATTCTTCATATTTATGTAAAGACTTGAGTTTTCGGGTAACACTGAACAATCTTTTTTCTGCTACATGACGATTTGATGGCAATTCTGCGTTATATACTAACCAAGGTAATCCGACACAATAACGACCATCTTCGTTTCTGGAAAGAGAGTTTAAAAATTTGTTCGTGGGCAATTTCTTCCTCAGCAGCGTTAGTTGAATTCTGGTGAGCATCTAATATTCCGATCGTTTCTAAACTCCAAAGATCGGAGATTTTAAAGTCGTGACCCACTAAACTTGCACACAAAATGGAAGCATCTTTATCTTTGTGATTAACCAATTCCTCCGATACACCACAAACTGTCCAACCAAGTTTTGTACAAACTGCTGTTAGTCCTCCTTTTAATTGTTTTACTGATCCCGTGAGAATTTTTCCATAAATATCACTACCGATGAGCATTTCTATTTTTGGACAATCTGCTCCCAGATCCGACAACCAATGTTGTTTCGTTTTAATTCTTTAATATTGGACCCTTGGGTACCCGAGGTATATCCCCACATATTATGTCTTGATCTAAAAATTCAAATTCTAGATCTGAATACTTACGCGGACTGGCTGAACATAATTTTACCCGATATTTGTTATGCAATCTTTGCCTCTGTTTCTGGCACCTCCAAATAAAGTAAGAGCAACATTTTCTTTGGAAATAATTGGTAACCCCAATTCAGTGGCTAATGATTTCAAAATATACGATTTCTGGGAACCACAATCTAAGAGTACTCTAACATCTTTATGCTTTTTGACACCCAGCTACTCTTACGCGCGTAAAGTCATTAAAGCTACGTCAGCGGTACAAGTTTGCCTGGCTGTAGCCGTATGTATGTTGTCTATTTCTGATTTTTCTGTAGGAAGTTCAGTTTCATTATTAATGTTCGGACACAAAATAACTGAGTGTGATTTACCACAAGCAAAACACCTAACAAACTGTTTACAGAACTTTGCCATATGATTTGGTTCCAAGCATTTTTTAAACAGCATTTTTTCTCCTTAACTTTAGAAATCCTTTCATTAAGAGATAATGAACATGCATCGTAACAATTTTTACTATCATGCATTTTACCACAAAAACTACATGCATGTTCTATAGTTGTAAGAAAACCTGTGGCAATGGGAACATTTGCCTGTTTCTTAAATTTAAATTTACCTTTTGTTTCCCTCTTTGCTTTATCATGATATCCTTCTTTACGACTAACACCATCGAGTTCATTACGCACCAATTTTAATCTCTCCTCACCCTCCACTTCAGCCTTTAAAAATTTCATGAAGTTGGTAAGGCAAGTAAGATCAGTTCCTTCAGGCTGGTTTAAAGAGCGAACTCCTTTGCCACGCCTTTAAAACATCCTCTGTGAGACACGATTCCACCATCGAAATAACCACGATGTGTTTTTCGCTCGATTTAAGACCTAAAGACTCTAAGGCTCTCAACTGAGCTTCAATTTTATCATACAGTTTATCAAGAGGTAATTTATCCTTTTGATCTGCCTTCACATTAGAAACAATTAATTTAATTAGTTCCCTAACATACACTTCTACTAATAATTCAGGTTTCCCAAAACGTTCCTTCAAAGCTAAAACAGCTTTATCATAATTTTCCGAAGTCACCGGATAGCTTTCAATGAATTCTTTAGCACGTGATCCGGGCTTCATACACTGAATCAAATAGGAAAATTTGTCACTTTCATATAAATCAGGAGTCAGTGTGAATTTTCTCAAACTGCGACCAAAACGAGTAAGCCAATTTATCAATTTCCCCATCAAACTTCTTAAGTTCGATTTTTCGGAAGTCTATACTGTTTAATCTTACTACACTACAACAAATACCAGCACCATCATTTGGTCTTGTTTCTAAATTGATTTCATCTGAAAATTGCAATTTTTCATTAATTTGCCGAGTTAGTGTTATGAAATCATCAGAATACACCTCGCGACTTTCGATTTCTTTAGTAACATCATCCTCTAAAGTTTTCCCGTCTTTCAGCTAACAAATCAAGAATTTTATCATCTACATTTTTTATATCTGAATATACATTTTGTAGTTTAGTAAGTTTATCTCGTACTAAATCTACAGAAAAATCTTCTTTTACTAACTCCGTTTTTAAAATATTAGCAGTTTTGCAAAAGAAGTGCGTAAACCTGCCCGTTTAAGTTTCAGAGCCTTTAAAGCTTCCATAGTTAACTTTCAAATAAAACAAACTGCTTTACAAAAAATAATTTCGAATTTAAACTTAATTATACTTTAATAATACATAAAAACTATCTATAACCATTAAAATAATTTTTTTTAAAGTTTATTTCTTTGAGAGTCCTGTCACGGGACGCCACTTTTGGTTATTACTAAAACATAGTCTTATCATTAAATATCATTAAATAAAAATACTTCCTTCACTCATCCCAGATACCGAGCAATCCAGAAAAACTAAAGACAAAACTTGCTCACTTACCTGGGTAGTGTGATGTTGAATCTGTAATAAAAACTCAAATATGTTGATTTATCTAATTATATTCTCTCTATACTACAAAATATATATACATTTTTAACAATTGTCGGGAAATTTTTCTGGCCCCGAAAGTTATTACACTTAATCAGTTCACGTCACGAGGTCGAAAGGGGGAAAAGCCTTTTTTTCTTCCTACTTCAATGACAGCCAACGCCATCTGTGTCTCGTACATCAAAATGAAGAGATTTGTTTTTAATATTTGTTAGATACAGCTAATCAGTTTCACAACACTATTCATGGACCCATAACTGATCCTATTACTAGTCATGGACCCAATTACTCTTAGTATTCATGTTTTGGCATTTTAAAATCTAAGTAATTATTTTGTAAAAAATGTGAATTGTAAATTTTTATGCGTTCCTCTGATTCTTATACGGGAGTCAAACTTTTGCATGTTGTTTTTTATAACGAGTACAAATTTTCTTAATGTAATAAATAATCAGAGGAACGTATCAGAAGTTAAATTTTGTAATTTTTACAAAACTGATTTCTTTAAATTTAAAGATGCTAAAACATAAATATTTGTTTCATTTAAAGCATTTTTGTAATTGGAAGGACAAACCAACTGTTGCGAAAATAAGGCGGGCAAGGATTTCGTGGGGGGGGGACACGGGCAATAAGTTGATTTATTGAATTTGCCCGCAATAACCTTGCATATTAATCAGTTATCTTTAAATTTCGGACGCCTGTGTATTAACAGTTTTGGGTGAAGATCAGTACAGATTGGGAAAAAAATGGCACTGGCGATTATTTCTAGAACCTATCTCATCTCCGATAGAATACTTATATCTCATAGGCTGGAAAAGATGTACGTTTCATACAGATTGCCACGGCATTGCCTGTTTTTGACAGCCCAGTAAAAGGTCAAGCCATCGTATTTCTAGTTTCACAGAATATATAACGGAAATATGTTCTCTTCGAATATTTGCGGCTTGTTAGAAGAAAAAATAATTCAAGAAAACTACAGAGACATATCTGGGTCGACTAAGGTAGTATATATTATTGAAAATTATGCGGTCGGGAAAATTTCCTCTAATATCTACATCTATACACGTGGCCACGCCGCTATTTTTTCTTTGTTTCGTTTTCCTTGTTTTTATAAGTTTAACGCCGTCTACTATTTCTGTGCGAGCGGGTCTCATGCGGTTGCTGTCAGATCTGATCATTAAGGTTGGAATTGTGTAACGAAAATTGAACGAAAAAGTGAGCACTTACAAAAATGAATTTTAAAATTAGGCCTAGTTGTATGCTTTTTAATAGATATGATTGATTATTTAGCTGACCTGAAGATGCGACTTAAAGTGAAAAAGAAATAATGAAAGATAGTTAAGTAAGAAGGAAACTAAAATCGCAGCATTCTTTCATTCTGATCAACATTTTAATTCATCATATACTCTTTTCGAAAGTATGTACATTTGAAAACAACTTTTACTTTTCTGTGAAGCATGCAGAAAGTAAAATAAGGACAAAAATTTCAGGTAAGAGTCTTGAATATGTTATCGTTACCACATCTGCCAAACTATATTCATGAGCCAAAAACCTAATTTTCTCATTAAGAATCTTTGTATTTTCTATTAAGAATTATATACTATTTTACCGGATGCTGCTTCAAGATACGCCATATTGCATTAGTTATGGAATAATGTTTTCCGGATGTTAGGCTTTTGGCATTTTTGAGTGGTAGATCCAGATATGGCAAAAGATTAAACACCCATATTCTAGTAGCTCTTTATACGAAAATTACTATTTTTGACTACTGGAAACATGCAGCTTTTTTTAACATTCATTTAATGAAGATGCAAGTCATATCTCTCATATGGCAAAATGATGCATCAACACGTGAAGTTTCTTTAAATTGTCAATGATTTTTGCCCATTTATTTCTGATCTGTTCATTTGTTCCTGAGTTCAGTCTGATATATATACCAGAAGTTCCTTATACTTTGTCTATTCCTTGTCTTATTAGTTCTGTTTTGCTATAAATAACAGCAGAAAGTGCATTTTTTAATGAATAATTTACGTTTTTCTGAAATTTTAAAAGAAAATTTCATATAAACATATGTCTGAGTAAAGCATCGTCATATTCTTCACTGCTACGTTACTATTACGAAACATTAAAAAACTATAAAATGAGGAAAAGAAAATTTAATACTTGAGCCACTTGCACGTAGAAAGTTTGCTTTTTACTAAGAGAAACTGCAGGAAGAGGCTTTTCCTGTTCTTCAAGATTTCTCAAGTGAGCTTTCAAACCCTGAAGTTTAAAATAAGTTATTAGAGATATATTTAAACATATATATTTAAACATTAAAATTAAAAATAAGCTATTTGAACTAATTGGAATTTTTAATGTACGATTTTCATTATGCATTTTCGCAACTTATTCGAACATTTTTTAGTTATTATTTAATATAGCAAGAGTTAACTGTGAAATATTTTTACTTCATAGTATATATTAACGCAAATACGCACCTCAAATGGGACAAAAAGAGATCCCACGTCACCTATAATGGTATTCGTCATTTCAGTGCTGGTGATCTGAAAACAGAAGTCGAAAATTAGTAATTAGTAGACTCTTATTTAAAATTTTTCAGAAATAGAGGCTTATTTAAAGAAATCCCAGTTTTAAAAATTAGCTATTTACATAATATATGGAAACCAACCGATTTTTCATGTGCAGTGGACAGGTTAGAAAATTTAATCAATGACAAAATTAGCAACGGTATCATCAAAAGGGAGTGACAGGGAGTAAGATCTTCACATGTATTTCTGCGTTTTGATTTTTGCCGGACCAACACTTTTTAGATAGTCTGTCTGAGGGATTTTTCGTTCCTCTGGCTGAAGAAAAATGCGCACAGCGTCAAGAAGGTAGGTAGCATCGGAAGATCTGTCGTTCAGATACCGGCGAGACTGTAGCTGATCGTTCATATCTCTAGTTCTTTGTGTGGTGGTGGTGTATTTAATTATGGCAAAGCACACTAGGGCTATTTGCCTAAGGGAAGGGATGCCTTCGTGAAGGACTTTGTAAGGGAAACTGGCTCGTATACACGTTACACACGGGGAAAATCACGAAAAACACCCATGCAGCCAGCCCGTTCGCGGTATTCGAACCTCGGACTGAACTACCAATGTTCAGCGACTTTACCGCTCGGCCGCTGGTGGACCTCTAGTTCTTTGTATAAGCATGTAAGTAAAATAATTTTTAATTAGTGTCTCTTTTTTGAAGAAAATGGTCACTAATCTCTTCTATTTGGCACACGAAAATAAAAGTAACGAGTAAGAATATTAAAAAGATAATTTTTAATTATCATCTCATTTTGGAGAAAATGGGAAAATTTTCTTATGTAACATACAAAATGCTAACATTTATAGTAGCTAGTACGTATACTAAAACAAGATAATTTTTAGTTAGCATCTCTTTCGCAAGAAAATGGTGAGTATACTCTAATATTTAGCATATAAAAGTTATATTCTAAAGAATAAGCATGCCAAAAAAAAATTACGCCTTACGTTTTTAAATTACGTCTAAAGGGGCGTTTGTTTAACGTTTTGTGTGTTACCTTTCTTTATTAAATATCATGTTTTTTTTTGCACTTAAACCATAAAATTCAGTTCATCAGCAATGTCTCAAAATAATTTTTAAATGAACATATCTTTAGAATTTCCGATACACAGTTCCCCGCGCTGGAGATAAAAAGATTTTTTTCCTCCGTAGAGTGTTGCCATTGCTCGCCTTTAAATCGTTGAATTTGTTAAAGTTTTACAAAATAAAATAAAGTTTACAAAATAAAAAAAATTCCAAATTTCAAATTTGGGCTTTCAGATGATCATATTCGCACCAGGATTACGTTATTCAAAATTGGTTGGCTCTAGGTACCGTTGTTTTATCACAATACAAGAAACATACATACATACATAGAGTGGTGGCCAAAATTGTGGACACCTTTGGAAATTTTTATGTTTTTGAACTTTGTATGCTTATAGAAAATGTTTTACGTTTTGCAAAATGCAAACTTGTATATATCATTTTAAAGAAAATGTATTACTGAATTCAATACAAAACACAAAATTCAATTATTTGCAATACAAAAAAAGTTATATGTACTTTAATATAAATAAAAAACACAGTTATGAAGTGGTTTGTAACGTCTAGCTTTCCTGGCCAATCACTGTTCTTGGTCTGAGAATCAATCAAATGTTAGTAACTGCCAGTAGAAGCTGACATAATGTTAACACTTGAAACAATTTGTTATTTTGCTTTGTTCTGTAGAAGGAGGACCTGTTTCTTATACACTGCAATAACAAGTAGGAATTTTTGTAAAAATTTTTAATATTTAGTCAAGAAGCAATGACATCAAATAAAAGAGTAGATTGGAACACCTAAAAAGAGATGTAATATTATTGTGTTACGAGAAGTGGTCTTTCCTATGCTGAAATTGCAAGACAGGTGGGTGGTTCAGTGACTACATCTGGAGTCCGAAAGTTTTGTTTACGATATCAGGAGACAAACTCAATAAAAAAACAAAGAAGAAAAAGGCCGAAAAAGGTGCACCACATCTTTTGATGACAGAAGAATAAAAAGACTACGTCTCCAAGATAGAAATATGTCATCAGCGGCCATCAGAAGTGATCTTAATGATGCTGGTGTTTCTGTCAGTTCAAGAACAATCAGGAAAAGATTAACAGATGTTGGACTGAGAGGTAGAATTCCACGAAAAAAGCCTTATCTTAATTTTCAGCAACGAAAAAAAAGACTACATTGGGCAAAGAAACACATTAATTGGACAGATGATCAGTGGTCACAAGTTATATGGAGTGATGAAACTAAGATATCGTTATTCGCTAGTGATGGGCGAAAATATGTAAGACGTAGAATAGGAGAAGAGCTACATCCTGACTGCATTCAAGCAACTGTGACGAACCCAGTTAGTGTTATGATTTGGTCATGCATCCCCCCGGGGGTCGACGTAGAGAACTCTGCGAAGCTACTGGCTAGAATCTGTACCTAGGCAGTCTCGGCCACGGGGGTATAAAATTTATGAACTTGGTGGTTCTGAAGGCTCTGGGAAAGGACACTTATTGGCCGGCCTCGGAGTCTGGCACGTCCTAGCGCGGCGTGGTACTAGTAACCGGGGGGTTTTCCCCCGGGTTCGCTGGGTAATGTCCCGCTGCGACGGGCTCGCCCAAGCGACTGGTAGGAGCATTAGACGACCGGTGCTGCCTGGTGTCTTATCCAGGTGGTGTGCGCTGCTCCCTTGGAGGGTAATAGTGGAGGTTGAACCTCCACGACGTGCCCAAAGGGGGAGTAGACCTGCAGTGTCATTTAGTTCACGGAGCAGGGAAGCCTAAAATTACTTACTTGGTCATGCATGTCAGCAGATGGTATTGGTCGCCTTCATGTCATCGATGGGACACTGAATGCCAGAAAATACATTGACACTATTCTAGAACCAAAACTTCTACCTTCCATCAGAGATCTCTTTCCCAACAATGCTTCGTTTATTTTTCAGCAGGATTCTGCTCCTTGCCTCACGGCCAAAATATCGAAAGAGTGGTTTCGTACAAAGAGCATTAAATTGTTGTCATGACTAGGAAACAGTCCTGACCTCAATCCTATCGAAAATTTGTGGCACCGTTTGAAAACTCTTGTCTGAATGAGACGCCCATCAAATAAAAGGGAACTAATTGAGGCTATAATTGTTTCCTGGCATCATGTAATAACGAAAGAAGAGCTTAAAACTCTTGTCAGCTCAATGAAACGTCGATGTGAAGCTGTAATCAAAAATAAAGGGTACCCTTCTAAGTACTGATAACTCACTGCAGTCATCACTATCTAATGTATATCGATAACTATTATCGTTTAACTTTTTTTGTATTGCAAATAATTGAATTTTGTGTTTGTATTGAATTCAGTAATAAATTCTCTTTAAAATGATATATAAAAGTTTGCATGTTGTGAAACGTAATGTTTTCTATAAGCACACAAAATTAAAAAGCATAAAAATTTCCAAAAGTGTCCACAATTTTGGCCACCACTGTATATGCAGATTCTTTATTATTTAATTTCTTCAAATATAATGCAGGACTCTAAAATTTGTGCAACAATTTGAAAAGTGATACGCCATTTATAGTAATTCGACACAAAATCGCAAAAGGAAAACAATAGTCCTTCAGAGGCAAATCCCCTTTGGACTAATAAAATAATTTTTTCAAATAACATCTCTTTTGCGAGGAAATGATGAAAGAAAACACATAACAGTGTAAGTTATGTAGTCGTGAGCAAGCTTATTAACAAAATATTATTTTAGCTACCAACCCTGTACAGACATTAGGTATTTTTTGGAAGCAGGAGTTATGTTAAATGAGCGACGCCTTCGCCGGGACTCGAAACATGGGCCTTTCGAACGCGCGTCGAGCGTGCGGACCCACTACACTACGAAGGCATGCTAAGAAGGCGGGAGAAATACCTTATACCCCTTTTACTGACTGAGCCTTTATCAAACTAAGCACATTTTCTGCTAATTTACCGAAACAATAAAAATGAAATCTGCAAAAATTTCGCAAAAGATACCTTTAAAACTTACTTCTCTGCCAAATTTTAAGGTCTGGTTTCGGATACAGCCCATGAGCTCATTGTATTTTTTTTCCAGTATGGTAGGCCACCAGATTGGATGTCGATAATTACCATCTCCGTCATAAAAACATCCTGTTTAAAAATTTAGATGAGTTTAAATAGATTTTTTTTTTAATTTTATAAAACAATTATATAAAAATGCTAGAACTAAAACATCTAACAAATATCTGAAATTTGGGAAAAAACTAAGAGAAAAATATATAATTATGTTCCATGGTTTATATAAGTTTATCCCATGTTTTATTTTAAACGTTGCTGTAATTGCACCATATTGTAATTTAGATTTTAAGTAATAGAGCTAGTTGCCACCCAGAGTAACAGATTTTTTCATCCAGATGTTTCGACTTAATGAAAAAGGTATAACAAGCGTATACAACTGTTAAAATCTCTTTGTGATTTCTTTGAATACTTTACGTAGAATGGAAAAACTATTTTTATTCTCAATTTAATTTCGTATGGCAATTCAGAATCGCTTATTCTTAATGATTCACGTGATTAAACTTTGTAAAGTAATATTTCACGCAAAAAATATCGTTCCCCCAAAAAGTGCCGCCCGCAACGGAGCGCCCGCTGTAGATTCAACCTTCTTCGTATTTTAAACATTTATTAGACACACAAGAGTAAACACTAGATCACTAAATGACATCGAAAGAAAGACTAATAATTAAAATATGTATATTCATTAATACAAGTTAATACAAGCACTACTAATAATTAAAATATGTACATTCATTAATACAAGTTAATTTCATTTCGCTAACGGCTCCCATGAGCCTTTTCCTATCCTGGCGTCTCGGTTTGTCTCCCTCCTGAAAACTAAATTTTTGGCGCCTCACAGATTGAGAGTTAGCGCCCATCTGTACACCTTGTTGGTTTGCGTCACCCATACATCACACCGCCCATCCATAACGCTTAAAGTTTCTATGGAAATAGCTGAAAAAAATAATAATAGTAATTCTAAGAATTCATAAATGTCTATAAAAAGTTCTTTCGCACTTGTCACTCAATAGTGTCCAGTCTGGACAATGCATCCGCATTGTTCAACTTAGCACCCGGGCAATGCGAAATTGTAGTTTCATACTTTTGTAATGCTAGAGCCTATCTCTGTATCTTAGAAGATTGTGGTGCATTCTTTGTAATGAACGTTAATGGATTACGCTCAGTTATCAGTTCCACAGGTGATACAAAGATCCCTGTTTCAAACTTTTTCAGGATCCAAATAACGGCATCGGATTCTCTCTCGATAGTTAGCCGTGCTTGTTGTGGTTTGGTTAGTTTTTGGCTAGCATAACTAATCGGGTACACCTTTCCGTTTGTCCGTTGATATAAGTAGGCACCAACACCTGTTGAAGATGCATCACATTGAATTGTGAAAGGTAACCCTCGAACAAGAGTATAAAGACGGCCCACCAGCGGCCGAGCGGTAAAATCGCTGAACACTGGTAGTTCGGTCCGAGGTTCGAATCCCGCGAACGGGCTGGCTGCATGGGTGTTTTCGTGGTTTTCCCCATGTGTAACGTGTATACGAGCCAGTTTCCCTTAGAAAGTCCTCCACGAAAGGCATCCCTTTTCTTAGGCAGATAGCCCTAGTGTGCTTTGCCATAATTAAATACACCAAGAGTATAAAGACACTAAGGTACAGTAACACTTTTCCTTTTACTAAGCATTTCTTTAACTTCTCAAATACTTCGTCGTGTTTTCCTGTTAAGTACAGCTCTTCAAGACTTCTTCTTTTGGTGAGCTCGGTTAATGGATAAGCTGTTTCGGCGTAACGTGGAATGTAATCTCTATAATAATTACACAGGCCTAGAATACCTTTCAATTGTTTCTTTGTCTAGCTAATTTCTGGACAGCCTCCACTTTCTCTGGATCGGTACGATGACTGCCGGAACCAATGATATGCCCTAGATACTGAATGTGAGTTTTAGTAAAGAAAAATTTCTTGAGATTTACTGAAAACTTTAGTTCTAACAATTTTGAAAAAAATGGTGTCGAGATGTACTAAATGTTCTTTCCAACTATTTGAATAAACTGCTGTGTCATCGGGGTAAGCTCGAGCGAAATCTTTGTATTTAGCAAGTGCTTGGTTCATCACTCTCTGAAATGTTGCAGCAGCGTTTCGTAGCCCGAAAGTCATAACTTAAAAATCCATACTGAGCTCGATGTGTCTTGAAACATGCCAATTCTTGCCTTTCTCTTTCCAGTGGTATGGCCCAATATTCTTTGAGAAAATAGCAGATAGCACGTTGGCTTTCCCAAATATGGAATAAGAGTTCTTCCACAAGGAAATCATCTTGTTTCGTTACTGCATTAAGAGGTCTAAAGTCAACGCAAAGGCGAAGCTTACTATCTTTCTTCGTAACACAGACAACAGGGTACGAAATTTCAGCGTTGGTTTCTTCGATCAGTTGCATTGTCAACATTTCTTCGATCAGTCCCATTGTCAACATCGATTTGTTTGTCTACTTGCGGCTTCAATGCTTCTGGAATTCGATAAATGTATGTTTTCTTTCTTTCGATGTCATTTAATCTTATTTTATGTTCTCTTACTTTGCAGACTGGATCTTATTTATAAATAAGTTGTCATATTTTCTTAACAAGCTCATCATGTCATTCCTCTTATCATCGCCTAAATGGCTTAAGTCTACTTCAAGATGAAAATGATCCGACTTGTCACTCGCACTGGGTGTGGGATGAACTTCTCCTGGTTCCTCTTAATTCTCAAATATTAAACGTACCACCTGTACTTTTGGATTAAACTTTCTGAGTTTATTTACGTGAACTCTTCTTATTGTACCATCTGTCAGTTTTACTCTATTATAAGAAACTGGATTACAACGAGCTACTATTTCTGGAGGTCCTGTCCATCTGGCATAAAATTTATTACTGGAATCCGGAATCATCAGATACATTTGATCTCCCGGTTTGAATTCTTTATATATCGCTCTTCGATTAGCATATCTTGCATGTACCTTGCTTCAATTCTGCTATTATAGATGCTTGTTCTGCTGCTCTTTCGAAATTCACTTTCAGTTCATGTCGATAATCAACAGCATTTTTACCCAATTTTATTGTTAGCGGAATTTCTCCTGACCATGATGATTTTAATACTCTTAACAGACCTCTAGCCTCTTTTCCATAAATTAATTTAAACGGGGATACTCCAGTAATACAATTTGGGATTTCTCGGTAAGCAAATAACACGTATGAGATGTGTTTGTCCCAAATTTTAGAGTTGTTTCGAATGATATGATACGTTTCAGGACTTAGTTGTACCATTCAACTAATCCCGAACTTTGTCGATATCCTGATGTTGCAAATATAGGACTTGCTCCCAATCTAGCATGCAGCTCTTCTATTAATTCTGCAACAAATTGGTGCTTTGATCACTAGCTATCACCCGAGGTATGCCTGTTCTCATAAAAAATTCTAATAATGCATCGCAGGTTGATTTTGGTGTAATTGTTCTCAAAGGGGCAGCTTCTGGGCACCTAGAATGTTCGTCGACTAAACACAATACATATTTGTGTTTACGTGCTGATGGAGGCTCAGTTCGACCGATTATATATATGTTCACTGTGTCAAATGGAAATTCAGGTCGCTGAACTGGAACTACGGGTATACGATGTCAATCGCTACCGCTCCATGAGCCTTTCCTTATACTGGGCTCTCTGTAAGTCTCCCTCCTGGAAACTAAACTTTTGGTGCCATTGATTGAGAGTTAGCGCCCTCTGTGTATCTTTTTGGTTGTCGTCGCCCATGCACCACACCGGCATAATCTAATATACAACGAGTGAAATTATCCATCACTTACTTCTTAACTCTAATATTCGATAAAAAGAAAGGGTCCCTCCCGCACGTAAAGAAAGAATTATAAATGCCAGTACAGTGAAACGTTCAGACAAAATATTGAAAAAGCTGAAATCCGAAATGACTTGTTATTTAGTAGAAACAGAAAGCGGCCAAAGCGGATAAAATTGCTGATAGTTTGACCCGGGATCAAATTTCGGCGAACAGGTTGGCCGCATAGGAATTTTGTGGTCTCTCCCATGGGCAATATAAATACGAGCCAATTTTCTTTAGAAAGTTCTCCACGAAGGCATGCTCTAGGCAGATATCCTGTTTTGCTGTAATCTAAATAATCCAATCCAATTTTAGAAATTGAAAGCAAAAAATTAATGGAGTAGCAACTTTTGGAATCTATATTTCTTTGATACTTTTCTGTATAAAGTGTTTTCCATATTTTTCTTCTTAAAATTTTGTAAAATGTTTATGCTTCCACGTATATGATACCTTGCCATTCGATAATACCGTATGTACTCCAAAATTAAAGCGACTCCTGTATTCATTTTTGCTCTAAAATGACACATAAGGACCTGTTTTCAAGGGATGTCTTATTTTTCCATGCACAACAATTTGCATTTATTCAGAAATTCATGTACAAGTATGCCTTATATTCATTCATATATTGATACACGAAAAATTTACATTTATTTAAAAACCGCCGTGTCACTTGCTTCAGGATCATCTTCATGAAGCTCTAAATCTTGAATTTCGGCCTGAGTTTATCAGGACTCGTATGTCTTTTGATTTGTTTCGGGCTCTGTTTAAATATGTGTGGAAAGGACGACGCAAGCAGAAAGGGTTCACTTTACCCTTTATTGTCCAGGATGTTACAGGTGATCCCGCACTTCGGATACAAAGACCAACCACTTGTGGTCTGAACGTAAAAATATAAAAACTACTAACTAACTTAAAATAAAAGTTAACAACTTCGAGTGCTTTACACAATTGACTAATGCTAAGGCTATCCTTTTAAATTATTACGTATGTAGTACGCAAACTGCCGAAACTACAATACGTTTTAAATAAGAAGAGGGCTAAACCTCTGGCCTTAAAGGCGGACAGCAGCTGATTGAAAACTCGTACGGAATACAGTGGCAAGGCGGATCACTTTCCCTCGCTCTCTAACTCTTGGCAAAAAGGCCACAACTTAAATACTTGGGCGTTAGCAAGTACAATTTGCGTAACCAAGTTAACGCATTTAATTCTTGCCGGAAGTGGAAAATAAGAGAGTATAGTAAAGTTTTAAAATAAAATAAAAGTTAGTAAAACTTAAGATCCTTACAAGAGTCTTTAAAGGCAATTAATTGACTTCACGCGCAGATTACAAATGGCTTATTTATTGCAATATCAAGCATCACTAATATCAAGTGCCACACCTACTTGAATCATTATTTGATTTATTCTTCTTATGCGAAGTTCTCCAATTCTTTTATGTGGCCTGTTCTGGTTAATCCAGACTAGGAGATCCATCAGACTCTTTCGCCATTTTAGGAAGAAAAAATAAAATGGTGGCATTAAATCAACTCATTTTGTTCTTTGCTGCTGCTTTCGCTGGTTTTTTTCGGTTTCAAGAACATCAACGCCTGAAACAAATTTAATGCTTTATATTTTTGCTTTTAGTAGTGATTAGATTCGAGGTTTCTTTCCATCTAGATTATTTTCCAAAATACGCGGAAAAAATGCATTTTGGTAGTTAGTGGAGAGAATGCAGATTGATGAGTCATTCCTATGATTACCTATTGTTTGAGATTCTTCACCCCCAAATACTGCACTTTCAACCATAGCGATCGTAATAGAGAGTTAATGTGTAGGGTTTCCCTTAGTTCAATTAACCAATTATTTAAATTTTTGTTGTCTTTTCTGAAATCCTGAACTTCCCCTCTCATTTCCTCGCCAGGATGCAAATTTAAAGTTACGTGAAGTGAGTATTTAAACGGGTGAATCTTGGGAGTTTATTCAGAGCATGTTTTCGCATGCCAGCGCACGTTACGAGTCTGTTCTTGCTGTTACGTGGAGTTGCTGATACGCCTTTTTGGCCATTTAAATAATTATCGCGCAGGTAGATTTTTGAGCCAAACTAGTTAGCCCTAAGTTCTAGTCCAGCACTAACCTTTAGCTTGAATTTGTTGTGTAACGATTCTTAAGTTCCATGGCAAGTTGGCGGTGTTGTTGTTAAGCACGAAGTATATGCCTTTTTCTGTTCAGAGTTTAAATAATAATTAAAGGGTTATTTTTACCCTGTTTCTTTGTTGGTTTCCTTTACCCCTGTGCGAGAAGTCGAAAGGTTCTTCAATAGGATCTAATAGAGTTTATGTGGCCAAAAAGAACACGATTTTACAAGTATTTGAAAAGTTGATGCGATCAAAAAAAAAAAAAAAAAAAAAAAATTGAACGCAAGTGCACGTTTAATAATTCAGTGTCTTCCAGCTTATTTGAAGTATTGTCGATCTTCTTACAGAGAAGGCTATGATGTCCAAGAGCAAATGACTAAAATATTAGCCTTGCGGAAAACTCTTTTTTAACCCAGAAGGGCAATTAATTTAAAAACGGCAACGTTAGTCCTCCGATTAAGGTTATTCCTCCGGAAATTCTGAATTTCGAGTTGGTTTTATTATCTATTTAGAATTTTGTCAAACTTTAATGAATTTTTTATTTTTTATAACTTTTTATTTATTTTTAATTCCTTTAACGAACGGCCAACGATTTCAAAGCGAGCAATGGCAACACTGTACGGAAGAAAACATTTTTATCTCCAGCGCGCGAGACTGTGCATCGGAAATTCTAAAGTATGCTATCTTTAAATATTTTGTGATATTGCGGTTGAATTGAATTTTACGGTTTAAGTGCGAAGAACATCATTAATAAATAAAGGTAACACACAAAACATTAAAAAAAAAAAAAAAAAAAACGCCTCTTTGGGCGTAATATAAAATCTGAAAGCTTTCAGACTTAATTTTTTAAAATTTTTTTTGCTTTTTTTATTAGTAAATGGTTCAAAGATGATGTCAACTTGATCTGTACGTGCGCTTTTTGGAATTTCTCTTCTCCATTTGTTGACTGAGTTTACTGCATTATGATTGCCACGTTCGGAGATGCAAAGTTTGTTTGTCAGAAAGCTTGTAAGTTCTTCTCTTGGGAGTTTTCTACGATTCCTTTCTTCTACTTGATGGAATAACTATTTTCTTTCGCTCATCTTGCTTGGGAACCGAAATATTATATATCGCCTTTAAATCTGTTATTAAATCAAGTATTAAGTGCAGATTTACGAGACAGGAATGGCAACAAAAACTCTAAAGAATGATGGCCGTATTAAAGTGAAAACTTCAGAAAATATTTCTTTTATTTCATATTCGACGTTATGTCCGTCATATGAATGCATTAAATACATCCATTGCAATTCATAATGCATTGAATTATGAAGATTCTAATTATTCATAATCATATTCTTTTCTTATTCTTTTATGGGTTCCTTATCTGCACTCCAGCTGATCCTTAGCCCACCAGCGGCCGAGTGGTAAAGTCCTGAACACTGATATTTCGGTCCAGGGTTCGAATCCCGGTGAACAGCTAGGCTGCATGGGCGTTTTAGTGGTTTTCCCGGTTTGTAGCGAGTATACGAACTTTGGCGTTATATGCTTGTGTGGGGGTGCATGTCAGCATCATGATTAGGTAATTTAGTATTTATTAATGACATAATGAACCATTCTCTTTAATGAATTATTTTAAAAGATAATTTAAAATTATCCTTCCAAAATTTGGGTATTTGGGCACAACTTTATTTTTTTTATCAGGATAACGATCCTAAGCACATGCCCCCAACGTTCGCATTTGGTGTGTCTATAATTATTCACAACTTCTGAAAACACCACTTCAGTCACTAGATTAAAACTCCATAGAGCGCATTTGGATAGAATAAAAGGTTGAGCACGATGACACGACATAAAAACGAAAACCGAACTAAAAACAGGAATGATGGAAGAATTTGGAACACTGATGCTGATATTACAAAAAAAAAAAAAAAAAAAAAAAAAAAAAAAAAAACTTTGTAGAGATATTGTAGCTCTAATTATATGTACTTAAAGATTCTGTTCGATTGGAAAAGAAACAGTTTTTTTTTTTTTTTTTTTTTTTTTTTTTTTTTTTTACTGAAGGTTGCATACTTCTTTACCGAGTTATGAAACTAACTATTTGTAGAGACATTAGGATATTTTTGGAAGCAGGTAAGATGAAAAATTAGCAACCGCCTTCGCCGGGAATCGAACCACAGTCCTGTACTTATATGTACTTAAAGATTCTGTTGGATTGGAAAAGAAACAGTTTTTTTTTTTTTTTTTTTTTTTTTTTTTTTTTTTTTTTAGTGAAGGTTGCATACTTCTTTACCGAGTCATGAAACTAACTATTTGTAGAGACATTAGGATATTTTTGGAAGCAGGTAAGATGAAAAATTAGCAACCGCCTTCGCCGGGAATCGAACCACAGTCCTCTGGAGTACCGGCCCAGTGTGCAGAACCACTACGTTAGAAGGCACGCTAGGAAAGTGGGAGAAATGCCTTATACACTATGCTCAGACGTTTAAAAGCTGTCATAAGTGCTGCAATATATCCTACAATACACTAACTAACAGACATACCGCAATATTTACTAATATGTGCAGATTTCTTTAAAGTGTACGAAGACTTGTGAGGTAACTTTTCCGTTACTTTTTGATTATTGATTCCCCCCCCCTTCCAAAAAAAGTTTTGCTATGTTCAGAAAATAACTAATGTATTTTTGTTAAGAGACATTTATAGATATCATTAAAACATTCTCATTCTCAAATACTAATTTTTATTAGTGAATAAAACAAGATATCACAAACTCGTAAGTGTACTAACACTTTAATAAGACATTGTATAAATATTGTATAAATATTGATTAATTTTTTGGAAAGTCCCCAATCAAAGGTAATTTTCCTTAGGCAGAAAGTAGTCATACACTTTGCGGTGACCAAATAAGTTTCAAAGACATCACTGCATGAGATTGAAATGCTAAATTAAATCTTAGATTTGATACGTAGAAGATGCTTAGCTTTAATCATTATTTCGAAGTAAATTTTATTAAAGTAAATATTCGAAAATTTTAAGGGGTGTTGGAACCCCCAAATCTTCAAAAAATTGTGATTTCGGATTTTTGCATTTTCAAATTCTCTAGACTTTTATCTTTCTAAACATACCATTCTTTAATCTCTATGAAAATTAGAACTGTAAAAAAAATCTAGTTTTAATTTGTCATCTACTGCTTTGATCAATGAGGATTTTTACATAAAAACGCGTTTTTCTCCAAACGTGATTTTTTTATACTCGACGTACCTTTTCTCAGGAACTACTGCTCACAGGTATCTAAACTTTTTATTTCTTATTTATGATGTTCCCTAATATTTACTAAAATGAACTTTTTGTAATAAACTTAGAAAAAACATTTTTAAAATTTTTTTATGTGAGAAAAGTGCTAAATTTTACTATGCCTAACAAAATATTCTGTAATTTACTCTAAAATTCAAAATGTTTCAAAAGCTCATTTCAGTATAATCAGATAGGTATACTTTTAATTACAGAAAAAATTTCAAGCTTGTATCTACAGCAGATTTTGAGAAAAAGTACATCTAAAATGGCCAATTTAACATTGTCGGTATAGGGGTTTCTGATACCCCTTAAGTTTCTTTAGAAGTGCGTATATTCTTATATTATCATGTTATAAACGAATATTTACATAAACATGAAAGAGTATTCTACAGATGTATGTATGCATTTGCTTAAACTCATTTTCTTACCTTTAGCGTCAAAAGCGTGGCTCATTTCTCTAGCCAGAACTGCATTTTGTCCATACTTCAAGTATCTGGGAAATAGAAAACTATCTTATTAACGGAGTTACTCTCTGAAATAGATTAGATGTTTTTTAGCCAATTTATTCCATTGCACAGTATATTAACATTAGGAAAATAACACAAAATACGGCATTGGAACTACACTGACTACCAATAAGTATTTGGACACCTATGTAACACCTATGTAAATGACAATATCTGCGGTCCTAAGGTACGTCACGGACTCCGCCGGTATATATCGTGTAGGAAACAGCATCGGCTTTAGTCTCATGCAAGATGCCTCGCAGTTCGGAGCTCTCTGATTTCGAAAAAGGTATAATTATCGGGTATCACAAATGTGGCCGATCCTTAAGGGACATATCTAGCGATCTGAAGTACCCAAAATCGACAGTGGCCTATGTGATTAAGAAGTGGAAGGTGAACGGTGATTGTCGGAATGTGCCCCGAGTCGGCAGACCAGCGAAACTGGGAGATAGAGACCGACGAGTGCTGTCCAGAGAAATTCGGAAGTATAGGCCCAACCGATGGCCCTCATCCACGAGGAGTTTCTACAGGCATCCGGGAGTATTGTTTCAATGAATACCATCAGTAAGAAAGCACATCTGCTTGATTTTCATGGTCGTGCTGCTGCCCATAAGACTTTGATCACAAAGTCTAACCGCACTGCTCGGTTAATGTGGTGCAAAGCACATCTAAATTGGACCGTATATCAGTGGAAACGGGTTTTTTGGAGTGACAAATCAAGGTTCACCCTTTACCGTTCGGATGGCAGGGTCTGGGTCTGGCGTCTACCTGGAGAACGTCTCCTGCCAGAATGCATTCCGCCAACAGTCAAGTTCGGCGGAGGTGGAATTATGGTATGGGGGTGTTTCTCCTGGTATGGGCTGGGACCCTTGGTCCCCATTCATGGTAAGCTCAACTCCGATGCCTACTGCACTATTTTGGATGACAATGTGCTTCCTACGTTGTGGCAGTTTTACGGGTTGGACCCCTGTTACTTTCAGGACGACAATGCCAGTTGTCATGTTTCGACGTTAACCAAGGCTTGGTATGGTGCCAATGGAGTTCATCGAATGGACTGGCCTGCCCAGAGTCCAGACCTGAACCCTAGCGAGAACCTCTGGGACGAGTTGCATCGCCGAATTCAGGGGTGCACTACCCGTGCAAAATTGGTGAAGGAACTTCTATGTCTTCTCCAAGCCGAGTGGAAGAAAATACCACTAGTTGTCATACAAAGACTTGTGGAAAGTATGCCCTGAGGGTCCACTCTGTAATTACCTCTCGTGGAGGCTCTACCAACTATTGATTTTGAATAAAGTTAGTTTTTCTTTTCTATCACAGGTGTCCAAATACTTATTGGTAGTCAGTGTATGACGATATATTGCGGAAACTTTCTGTGTTGCATGGAATTACAGCATTCCTCACATGTGGTTGGAAAAATAGTAATATGCCAGATTAGGTTCAGTTCATTTTTCTTTTCTCCATTCCGAAAAACTAGTCTTTGCAAAGGAGTCCGAACTAAAATGAGGTCTGCGATAAAGCCTTAGCATTCGGATTTGCCCGAAAAGGTCTCATTGCCTTTTCTCGCACCCTTTAAGGATTTATAACATTCGTTTGTTTTGTATCTTTTTGGTAAATGTGTCATCATCTGGAAGACCTGTGATTAGATTTGTGGCGAGGCCTGTTTGATTCTTCTTGTTTCCTGATTCGAAAGATAAACAACGAAAAACCTAATGCTTTTATATCCCAAGTATATTACTAGGTTTAAAAACATAAAGCGTACTTTTCCGTTTTGCTGACGCAGGCGATAAAGTCACCAATAATGGTAAAACTGATGCCAAACGGAATATCCTCGCTGGTAACCTTTTACGCCTCATTTTCAAAACAAGTCGCAAACCATTTCTTATCAGATTGATTGTTTCTTTCAATACTGGCATATAATTACATAGAATTTTTACCAGATAGTTCAATTTTATGCCTTAAGGCCATTCGCGGTAATCAAGTCAATTAGGATGCAATCACACCAATCACCCGAAAGCGAAAATATAGAAAAGGGTTAAATTCATCCATTCTAATGAGAATGCACTAGGGAAGTAAAGCACTGCGGTTTTACATAATTTCTGAGTAATGTACGAATTGAAATAATTCCCTTCTCTCTTCGTTTCTGAGTAACGGTCTATTCGTACGAATTGAAATAATTCTTCCATTTAAGCTTGTACTCCAAATTAATATTTAACTTGAAATTAATGTACATAATTACTGAGAGAATTAGATTTTTGTAGTGTAGTTTCCGTGAGATGAGATCACTTGGCGTCACGTGATATAAACCGACGAATCAGGATGTTGAACCATGAAAGCATAGTAAATTTTTAAATAAATGTCTTTATACAAATTTATTGTCTTTATTTATCTGTTGGCTTTTTTTACAAAAGTTTTTTTTAAATGTTACGTTTAAATTGTTTATGTCTTCAAAATAAAAAGTTCTTAAAACTAAAATTTGTTAACATTTTTTATGTGTACACTGTATGTTGTCGCCAATAAAGTCTGCTTGGCGAGATTTGCGCCGGCGAACCGGAAAAGTACCAAATAAAGTATGAAACACTCACACTTAGTCTTAAAAATATAAGGAAGCGACTTCCTGTTTCACAATCTGTAAATCATATTGTCTTTTGCAACTTTACTAACGATGCGAATGATGATGGGAAATTCAGAATAATAAGGATGCTAAAAGTACATTGCGGAAAAAAAAAAAAAAAAAAAAAAAAAAAAAGGAGGGGGTGACAGTTCTATAACTCCCGTTTTACTGGACCGATTGGCGAAATTCAAAATTTATATATAGCATTGTTCTAATATAGGTAATTTTACACAAAATCGGACTTTTTCTGAAATGACATGCCAATTTTTTTTCCATATTTCAAATCTACGACTGCAATTACGCAAAACTACTAAGCTTTGTAAAAGTCGCACGAGTAGTTTTTACAAAATTAGCCATCAAAATTTTAGCTCCTTAATGGTATAGTTTGGTATATATTTATTAATCTCTCTTTTTCTATTAAACTTATTTGACTCTTCCTTTCACATTTCGAAATAAAATTTACCCTTTTTTCATGATTTAATTTTTTTTATTTGAATTTTTAAATAATTTTTATAAATTTTTCAAAAACATTTTGAATTATAATCTGTAAAATTTTTACCATCATCTTAACGTAGACGTATTTCTAAGCATGCCTGCAAAAACTTACAGCTTTTTGTTTTCAAAATTTCCGAAGGTATACGTGAATTTATATATTGGTGCGTTTTGAAATTTGGCATTTTGGTTGAAAGTGATAAAACATCAAATGTGGTTTAGACACTTACTAAAATTATTTGAAAATAGGAACGATGTGACCTTTTTTCCGCTCATGCGCAATGTAAAATGTAGGAAGGAAGTGCCTTTTTTTCCGCTCCAGCATAATGGAAGGGAAGGGAAATTGGTTGCCATCTATTCAGAAGTTCGCAAACTGAAAAAATTGCGCCTAGATAAATTTTTGAATTTCTCCGTAAATTTCACCCCAAATTTTACAAAATTTAATATCTAGGCATAATTTGAGTCGTAAAATCGAAATATGGAAAAAAATTGGTATGTTATTTAAGAAAAAGTCCGATTTTGTGTCAAAATACCTATGTTAGAACAATGCTATATATAAATCTAATAAATATTGTAAGTCGCGCTTTCGAGACACGAAAAATGCAATTTGAATTTTGTCAATAGGTCCAGTAGAACGGGAGATATAGAACTATCTCCCCCCCCCCGCCCCCGCAGTGTACATATTTCATGAAATAATTCAATCGAAAATCAACAGTTTTGATAGAATCATGTTTATGCATTCTGGTTCTCTATTTAATTTCGTCATTCTTGTATCTAGCTAATACAAATCAAATACGTTTCTAATATTTACTCTCTGAATTTATATTTGAAGAAGAGAAATAATATATACGAAAAGCGTGACAAAATTCCCATAATTTAAAAATTAAACTACTCATATATAAATGAACACAAAATTTTTTATAAATATGTTGCCTGCCTAGCACAGTTACCATTCACTTAAATTTTATGTGAATATCAAGCATCTACCTCCCCTTTCCAAACAATTGGTAAAAAATATAAATAGCAAACTAAGGCACTGCAATTCATTGAATAAACATATACGATTATGTGCTTGATTTGGCTTAAAGTTGACTATTTTAATGTAGCAACACAGAATCAAATACACAAAGTGTCTACACATTTTTAGAATTATTTTGTTGAAGAATTTTTAAAAATTAAGTTTTGGAATAAAATTTTCTGGTAACAGCTTATTATTTGAAATGAAAAATTTCGTGCGCTACTTTTAAATTTATTCTTCTTTCAAAATGTCACATGTAAACAAGCTGCAGATTAAAGCACATGTTTTTGCTCTTTTCGAAGAGAAATATCCTGTTCCTTAGTTCAAAAGGGTTATGAAATGCATGGTATTAAAATTTATAAGCGCAAAATAAGCAACATTAATAATCGGAAAGGGAAAAACCCTCGGCCATTACTTCTAAAGGGAAAGAAAATTCCAAACGAATACCTGAAAAAAGTACCTACTCTATGTAAAGTTAAACCTTAGTAACAAGAGAAAATCCGCCGACGCAAACATCAGTTGCGAAGTCTTTAAATATATCTGTAGCATCAATAAATAAAATTTAAAAAAAGAGAGATTTACATCTTAAAAAGGCTCAAAGACATAATGTTAACCTTTCCTTTGCCTAAAGCTGTGGCTCAACGCAGAACAATTTGCAGAACCTTCTTTGAACTCTATTTAGCGAGAGATAAATGGAAATACAAAGTGATCCTTAAAGCGTTGATTCAGCTAAATGGCTAGAACAAGAACGGTCTATTTTTTGCCTAAAATGAAGAGGAAAAAGGTACACAAGCCTGTTTCCGTCAATGCAAAAAACGTTTCAGCAATGAGTTTATGATTCTTCTAGAATTCTCTTGCACTGAGAAATTAAAAATAAAAGGCGTGAGAAAAAGGTGTTAAAATCAACTCAATATACTATCAAGAGAAAGTTTTACGTCTGATACTTAGAGAAGAAATTGCTTTCTTCACCCCAATGACTTTCAAAGAGTGAAACTTCCATCAAGACAAAGCAACAAGTCATATAACGCAAAAGTACCACTGCATGCCTTAAAAAAATGAAACCTGATACAGGTATTCCATATATACCTTACCAAAATATTCCTACAAAGTCCCCTGACGTTTCGAATATGACTACTGTGCCTATCGTCTCTTGAAAAGAGCTCTTTCTAAGCGCAAACCCACCACTATTGATGGACTCTAGAAAGCAGTGGAAGAAGAATGAAATATAACACGCCTGGAAATTTTACAAAAAAAACCCTTCTATCAGGGAAATCATGATACAAATTTATAATCCCTCCCCCCACAAAAAAAGTGCTATTAGATCGAACAATATCTTTACATTTTAAACACTAATTAAAATGAAAATTAGTGTTTAAAATGTAATGAAATGATTATAAAATTCTGCAAACACTCGCTGTGCTAAGTTTCATATTACCAGTTAGAGAAGAAAACCCAAGCTATTTGCAGCCATTAATTTTAGTCGTATTTAAAACTATAGTTGGCAACCTCCATTTGCGATGGTAATTCATGTCGTTATCTTCGCACAGCGTTTATTTTCTCCATTTATTCTCCAGACTATAATCTTGTTGATATGGCAACATATAGACCCATTTTACACTCATGTCCATAAATTAAGGATAATGCAAAATAAGGCAAAGGAAGAGTTAGAAGCAAAACAAATTTGACTTACTTGTAAAGATTATTTATTAAACAAAAGGTAAAGAGCAAAAACAGATGCTATATGTTTGATATTATTAAAAAAATTAGCGACTTTTTTCTCCCTGTAGCAAACTACAAAAAAAAAAAAAAAAAAAAAAAAAAAAGCCTATTTACAAAAAACCAATATTACATGGTTGGTATGACTGTTAATACATTGTATGTCTCACAGACGATGCAATACAGTCCGTACAACGCCTAGGCATGCTGAGTATAAAATTATTGATCTGATCTTGGGAGATATTACACCACTCAAAAAGCAATGCTCTCCGAAGTTCCGGTAGACGTGTAGGAGGATGTTGACGGGCTGCAACTCGTCGGCCAAGTATGTCCCACACGTGCTCTACTGAATTCGAGTCCGGTGAGAATGCTGTCCAGTCCACACGGGTGATATCCTCCGATTGAAGGCATTCGCTTACGATGTTTGCACGCCGAGGAAGGGCGTTGTCATCCATAAACGCAAATTGTGCGACCATGGCGCCCCAAAACAAACGTACATGTTGTTCCAGAATGACGTCACGAGATTTTCACGAGATTATAGATTTGATTTGTCATGGTTCCAATTTGAACATGCAGGTCAGTTCTGGAACCCAGAATAATTCCACCCCAAACGAGCACTCCAGCACCACCGTAACGGTGTCGTTCAATGATGTTTTCTTGGTAACGGGTACCTGGAGCTCTCCATATGAAAGTCCGGCGAGAATCAGACTGCAAGCTAAACCTGGACTCGTCGGAAAACATCACACAAGCCCACTGTTGCGGTGTCCACAATGCATGCTCTCTACTCCAGGCTAACCGCAGGCGACAGTGAGTTGCAGTAAGTGGAACGCATCTGACAGGTCTACGAGCATATAGACCAATCTGCCCTATGCGTCTGTACACGGTCTGCCTTGAAATTGTCGTACTAGTGACTGAAGAGAGCTGACGAGACAGGTCTGAGGCTGTGCTCCGCCTGTTTCTTTTGTCAGTAACTGCCAAATACCGGTCCTCATTCGGCGTTGTAACTCTAGGGCGACCTGTGCTGTAACGTCTACTCGCATTGCTATTATCTTGGAATCGTTGCCAAAGCCTGGAGATGACACTCTTGGCAATTCCAAGTTCGTCTGATACTTCCAGTTTGGGTACGCCCACATTCCAGACGGCCGATAATTCTACCTCGTAAAAAATTATCCAAATGCGTCCTTTGTGTCATAACTATTCAGTTATTGCACTGAAATGCTTATAAAGCGCCTGCGAACAATTTTACTTCTTTGCCTGTATTCCTTATATATCACTCTCTTACACTCTCGTCATTGTGACGTACCATCGGTGTCATCTGGTTACTTCCTGAAAATTTGCATATGATTCTTGAAGATGTGTGTAGTGATTTTACAGGTGATATATTTAATTTAGAGTTCGATTTCCGCTCGACTCCGAATTATCCTTAATTTATGGACATGAGTGTATATAAGTAACAATGTAATATAATAAAAGCAAAATAATGACAATTAAATATTTCACATACTTCGGAATGTCCTTTAGATAGACGAAAATAGGAGGTCGCAACAAGCCAAGATCAATACCTGAAAATTTGAATATTATAAAATGTACAGTTCTTTCGAACAATTGGTTCGAAATCATTTATAGCAGCGGTTCTCAACCTTTAGACTAACGCGTACCATCTAAATAAAAACTGAAAAACGTAAGTACCACCACTACATTTTACAATGATTATTTTTCAATTTTTCAATAGAAAAAAATAAAAATAAATATATTTTGCCATTTGCACAACCTATTGGCTCTTTGTACTAAATATGCATACATAAAAAATATTTCAGATTAATAATGGGTTACCATTTTTATTATCAAAATTTAAGTTATAACACTTTAATTTAAAAATTTAGTTAAAATTTGGGCCTGTTTAAAGGGAGACATATTTCTTTGCGTCTGGTCTTATTTCACTTAGTTTTAACCCTAAATTAGGATCCACTTTTAATTTTGTTCTGTATTTAATTTTTAAATATAACATAGAAGAAAATTTTTATTCGCACAGATAGGTTGTGTAAAAAGGGAATAAAAATTTAATAGCTATATTTGAAATGCCTTTAAAGTTATTTTTCGGTTCAGACGAAAGTTAAGTGTATTATTTTTGAAATCTTCAGTTCGAGTTCGATCACAGGAAATTTGGATCAATTTATCTTTTTCTTCACGAGATTTTTGAACTATTAAGTTAAAAATACTTTGCTTCTTTGCGTACCACCTATTTTTCTCTTGCGTACCACCGGTTGAGAACCCCTGATTTATAGTATTATGAAATGCAGTTACATTATTATGATTACTAATTAAGATATTAGCTATACACAGGTGGAGAATCAATGAGGCAGTTGTCCATATGATACATTACAAGTATAAGTACATTACAAGATGATAATTTCGCCCTCTGTTGTAGATGGTAACTGACCAAAACTAGTATTCTAAACCCCAATAACCAGTTTATTAAACTTAACTTACGTAGTCAATTTAACTTAAAAAGAACTGTTTTCATTAAAAGGAATAACTACTTCCCTGGCTTGAGATAAGCCTTTTTAGTATGCCGTCACATTTAGTATGCCTGCAGATGCCATTTATTCATATTTCAAAACAAAATCGGAAAAGAAAAGGAAATTTTATATCTCTACATATATTTTCACTATATGATGTGCCTATTATTGATGCAGATGGCGCTGCTAGTAATGAGCGCAGATTATTTTTAGCTATCACGGGACTCTTGCGTTTTGGCGACAAGAGTAGATGATTTTTTTTTTTTTTTTTTTTTTTTTAGCAGTTAATTTTGCATCGCATCGTCAATGCCTGTTACTATATCACATGTCCTCAGTGCGCATGTTACAAACTAATTTTCATACATACATGCCTTTCACTTACAATGCACATGTTACAATCTAATTTGCATTACATCCAAGCCCTATATTGTCTTAAAGAGGTGCCGGTTATACTACAGCATAGCGTACCTGTACGAGTATGCAGTCTTGAATATATTTTTTGATATATAAGCTACTGAATAATAGCTTTTGGACCCAAAAATCACTATTCCGAGTTAAACAGGGTAAGATGCTAATCAGTCTACTTTCATCGATGATAACGCACCATGTCGTCAAACACTTGCTGTTCAGGATAGTCCAACCAGCGAGAATATTATATGCCTCATTAGGCCAGCACGTTCTTCGGATCTATATCCCATCGAAAGTATTTGGGTGCTCTGGGAAAACGACTTGCTGGCCGAAAACATCCTCCAAACCCTCGGTCCATGCACTGAGAGAGGTTGAATTGCCTAGACAACTGATGGATAATGTTGTGCAAAGCATGACACGACGTGCTGAAAATTACATCGCATTCCACGGTTGACATATTCCATACTCACACCTTTCTCAAAGATGCCTGCTGCAATCCATAGGCATTTTTTTATTTCTCCGTACACAGCATCAAAAGAATACTTTTTTTACTTTTCAATGTTTCAAAATCTTTTTTATTTCCCTGAACAATAAAGGTCCTTTAATCTAAGGTCCGAACAGTGAGGAAAAAAATATTTGATTCTTTTGTTGTTTGACTTCTGAATCAGTATTTGATTCTGCTTAACCTCCACCCCCGTTTTATATAATGCTACATTGCAAGCTGAGAGCTTAGCAACTGTTCAACAGTGTTATGTCTAATGGGTAAAACTGCTTTTTGCAGTGACTTCATCTGAAGAGCCACTAACATTCAGGATTGTGCTTGTGAAATTGAGTTATAGGTAATGTGGAAAATGATGCCAAGTTTCGAAACCGTTGTGGAGCTGTATTCTGTTCAGACTTGTTTCTTGGTATCCAGTACTGCTCTTTGAATCTGTCTCTTTTTGTTTTAAAAATAATGTACAGAAAATGTAGAAAAACTAGAAATAACTTCTGATCTCTACAAGCTAGAAGATGAAACTACCAGTTCTGCGAAACTTTTAATGCTGCCTTCTACTGTCATATATTCATTCACAGCCTGTTGTTATTATGCACTTATCTATAGTATCTAAGAGAAATGATTCCAAGCATTGGCAGTATTTTCTGTCAGGTGATTTTCTTGTATCTTCATATGCTGACGCAGTATTATGTCATTCCTATTTTGTTTTGCATCTAAATTTCAAAACTCTTCTTCTAACATGCGATATTTTCTAAGTTATGAATTTATAGTCATTGACACTGGTAACACTTTGGACTTTCCATGAACCAAGTTATGCTAAATCTAGTGATATGATAGGGTATGTCTGACCATCTTGCACTCGTTATTTTAATATCAGAGATGGATTTCGAGCTATTCATTTAAATAAGTTTCTTTACAGAATTTCTGATCCAATATCATCTTCTGAGGGGCATCTCCAGACTTTATTCTTTGCGTTTGCATCACCTCTGATGGTTAAATTCTTACAGTCACTGATTTTTGGAACTTGTGTAATAACTTACTTACATCTTCTTTATCGGTGGTTCTTGTGTTCTACTGGCCAAACAAAGACACTTTCCTTTAACTAAATCTATTTAATGAAGAGAAGACTATGTACAAATATTATATACAGATTACAGAGTATCTAGTTTATGTCACTCTCAACCACTCTCATCAACCTCTCAACCCTCTCTGCCGAAACTCTTAATTAGCTAAACAACGGGCGGCGCAGCGCCTCTATCTCTTTTTCTACATCACTCCCCACCTGTACTCTTTAACAAGAGTACACAAACTTACTTACATAACAATATCAACATTAATTAATAATGGATTAATACTAAATGGTATGACATATATAAATGAATAATATAAAAGAATAATCTACTAGTATATATCAAAGCCACAAATGAACATAATAATTAATAATATAATAAAACTCAATAATATCAAAAGTTCTATCTAAATTAAATCTCGAAAGGATATAACATCTGGATCGATCTTCTGAATTGTCTTTTGGGCGTGCGAACAAGGCACGCTCGAACATGTCCATCTCTTCCTATAATCACGTTTTCAATTACACCCATGTCCCAAAGTAGTTTGGATTGTTTTGGTCCTTCTACCAACACAACGTCTCCAGTCTTAAGGTTCCGCTCAGTTTTAGGATTAGCAAAGTTATGCGCATTTCTAAGATGGAGTTAAATATTGCTCTTTCCACTTGATCCATGTTAATTTTAAGAGCTTAGATTGGTAAAGCTTCCTCCTGGTTAAAGTCTCTTTGTCGGATACCTTGTTAAAAATTTCCAAGAAATGCTCGGGAAAGTAAATGTACCACGTCCTGGCAATAAAAACTGTGAAGGTGTGAGCGGGCGAGGTTCACCCAGCTCGTTGCTCTCATATGTTAGAGGTCTATTATTTAGCACACACTCGAGTTCAGTTAATATTGTAGAGAGATCTTCGAAAGTCAGTAATGCTCTCCCTAAGATTTTCTTCAGAGGTTCCTTGATGCTTCTCATCAAACGCTCCCAGGACCCTCCCCACCATGGGGAACGCTCAGGTATGAATTTCCAGGTTACCTCTTTTGATGTCAAGAAATCACCCACACTTGGATCTGCTTTGATTCTTTTAAATCCTTTAATTATTTCACATGTGCTGCGGAAATTCTTGGCATTATCTGAATAAATCACTTTGCAGCTCCCTCTTCTTGCTAAAAAACGTCGTAATGAAAAAATGACACTTTTTGCTGACATATCTGAAACCACTTCAATGTGTACAGCACGAGTAGCGGCGCATGTAAATAAGGCTACGTACACCTTTTTGTGGTTATCCTCTTTTTCTTTAATAGTAACCGCTCCCGTTAAGTCGATGCCTACAACTGTGAAAGGATTACTTTTGGACTACACGATTCTCTTGGTAACAGACCCGTTAATTGTTTGGCGGAGCTTCACTGCGAACGTTTTATACACCAGGCAAGCGTTAATAACATTCTTTACTACTTGTCTTCCTTTAGGTATCCAAAATTTATTCCTGACTTTGGACAATGTTGCTATGACTCCTGAATGGAATACTTTTATGTGTTCACTAAATATCACTAGTTAGGTGAACTTCGTTTTCGGCAGAATAATGGGATGTTTTTCGTCGTCATCTATTAATTCTGCTTGTTCCAAACGACCTCCGACACGCAAAATACCTCTACTGTCCAGATAAGGTGCTAAACTGTAAAGCTTCTAATCTGGTGTTATTAGCTTATTCCTCTCTTGTTGTGGAATATCCGAAAAGTAATTCGCTCTCTGTACTTGTTTTTATTCAGTACTCCTCAGCTTCTTGGATCTCCAATACAGTAAGAGGACCTTCTTCACAGGGCACGTTTTCTTAGCTTGGCGACAAACCGCTTTACCCAAGCTGTAATCTCAACAATTTTTCGAGACTGCTGAATTTGGTAATGTCTAACGCATTTTCTTCTTCTGGAATAGTCACTTGAACATAAGTGCTTAAACGTTCCAAATTTTGAGAATCAGTTTCTACTTTAAACTTCTGCTCAGGCCATTGATCTTCAGATTTCAACCATGATGGACCATGCCACCAGTTATTATCTTTCACCAATGCATTTGCTGTTTCACCACGA